CAGCTACACCCACTTTCTGGTGAAAACTTCTGCTTTTTCCAATTTTCAGCTCTTTTAAGAGTTTTTCAGTACAGCAAGGTGAATGATTCAGGAAATTCAAACTCCAGAAGAGAGGGCAGCAGCACGAGGCTCATTATTAGTTATTTAATCAGCCATTTGTGGGGGTTCCTGGGCTTGTGCCAGCTCTACCTTCAGAGTTTTTGGACACACACTGTGTGAGGGGAAGGACTCCTGTGCACTCTCTCAAGCTGTTCCATTACATCTGATTTATAGCATGACACCACTTGTTCTAGCCCATAACCTTGAGCTTGTAAACTACACAGGGGAAAATTTACTAACCACTGAGTTCATCTTAATGCACTATTGGGACTCTTAAGTGGGAAAAAAAGAAGGCAAAGAATCGGGGGCATCCAGAGGAGCTGGTTTTGAACAGCAATCCTTTCCTGGCCCAATCCAGCGCATCTCACAGTCCACTCTGTTTTCATTTAAATAAAGTTTTAATTTACATGGCCAGCACAGAGTAAGGACCTATGTTTGTCTTGCTTTGAAGGTGATAATCAATAGGAGAGTTGTAGATACATTTCACTTACTAGCTGCACACACGGCTGGAGTTTACCTCAACAGCACATACAAATGCCTTTACTCCACCCTTCGCTGGCATCAGAGTTTGATTAATAACAGAAGCCAGAAAACTGTTTTGTAACTTTTCTATCAGGAAAGAAAGTTGTCACCCACGCAGCAGAACAATTTCCTAGCAGTAAAGGAGTCCCCATCAGTGTAAACAGAAAAGCACTGAGAGCTGGAATACAGGTGTTACAGGTCCTTAGTGCAACTCTGATGAGCAACCTAACACAGACCTGGGACTTGCATGAACATCAGAGCCAACAACACGCTCTCATCAGAGGCTGCAAACTGCATCCTTGGCTCCACCAGAAGTGTGGCCAGATGACCAAAGGAAGTTATCTCCCTTTCATCAGTGCTGGTGAAGCTGTACCTGGAACACCAAGTCTGGTTTTAGGTTCTGCACTGCAACAGAAATGGGGAAACTGGAGAGGGGACAGCACAAGGGCTGGAGAACAGGATTTATGAGGAAAGGCTGAAGCTGGGCTTGTTCATCCTGCCCAAGAGGTGGGTTAGCAGGGTGATCTGACAGCAACAAGGAGCTACAATGTGATGGAGTCAACCACTTCTCAGTAGCACTAGGGAACAGAATAAAGGACAAGGACAACAGAGCTTGGAAGCTCAGGCTGGCTTGGCAAGAAGTTTTTACAGGGAGACAAGCACAGCACTAGTACAGGCCAGAGGTGGCTGGGCCTCCCATAGTGTTAGAGACACTTGATGCAGTGTTGACAAAGGTCCCAACTCTGAGCTAATTTAAAATAAAGATATCATACGAATACAAATACGGTTTCAGCCTCCACTTCATTATTTTTGGAGCAGGGAAAAAGGGAGTCTATCTAGGTTCATCTTTGACAAGTTCATTTTACCACACAGAACTTGATGGCTGCACTACTGTGAGATACACAGAAGCAGCACCCACAAATGCAGTAGTTATTCAGATGCTCTGCCCCACGTTTTGTCTTCATTTTCAAGGATGCTCAGTTCAAGTGTATTACAGACTTTCAGATTAATTTCCTCAGCTAATACTCTGAGGTGAACATCTAATTTGCCCAAGGTAAAGTTACACTCTCCTTGGTTTGTTCCCTTCAATGGCAGCCTGCCCTCCATACCAGCATACAACTTCCTTGAAACACGAAGAGAGTGTTGATGTTATAGAGCAAATACAAAATGAGCTCTGCGTTTGCTGACTATTCCCAGAAGATATCTTGCTCCTTACTTCAGTCTAAGTATTCAAAAGTCAGTTCCTGAAACTTTCCCCTCCTTTCAAGTAATTTTGCCTAGGTAAGGCTCCAGCAAACAGCAGCCTGTGTGATTATTTCTGCTATTACAGTCTCTTATTTTGTTTAATTTTTAATTATTTTAAATTACACAGCTGAAGTGCAACTGGATATATAGCAGTGGATAGATGTCATTCAGCAAAAAGGCTTGTTCTTTGAAGAGCCTGAACTAGGGGCCTTTCTAGCAGGAGGACTGTAGCTCATATGCTGAGGAATGTCACACTGCTTCTATGGTCCATGGAGGACATTAGGGGTAACCTTATTACTATTTAAAGGATAATACTGTTTGTAAATGACTTCCCGGCATCCCAACAGTGGATTTTCATAGGGACTGGCAGAGAGCAGCAACTCCTGTTGTTCCTTCACTCCAGTGACTGGTTTCCCAAGCAGGAGCAGCAGCGCTGTGACACAGCTCCTGTTTGTGCATCAGGTAATGACACAGTTTCCACTGAATGGCCTTGGTCGTGTCAAGTCCATACCAGGTACAGGAACACAGCTGGAGCACTGGGCAGAACACACTGTCAGTGCCCAGGTACCCCCCGAGCCCCAACACCTCAACCACAGCAATTCCCAGGACAGACCTGACCAGAGCCAGAGGTACCCACCCAGCTGTCCAGTCATTGTCTATCACACTCTCATTTATCTTCCACATTTTAAAAGAGGCTGATGAACTTTATAACTATATTCATGAGCCTTTCCTTACTCTGTTTTTGATGAACTACCTCCTTAATAAGTGCCTAGGAGTTTTAAAAAGGAAAAAAAAAGCAAACAAACCACACACATCCAAAAACACATCAGGCTGACTTGACAGAAGTACTTCTACTTTCTCAGTGGATACTTTAAAATGTTTATGAACAAGCCCAACAGCAGGTTTGGAAGTTTTTCTCAATTAAATCTCACATTGCTGAGCACAGCTCACAGTTCTGCTCTCCTCAGATTTCCCTGAAGCCTCACTGCACCTTCACACTTACTTGCTCCTTCTCCAGTTTTTGTAACATCAGCACATACACAAGTGGTGAGTTTACAGTGCCCCCAGATGTTACTCATGAAATCAGCACCAAGTAGAGGCCTTGGTGTTTCTCCTTCCCGCCCCTTCTCATTTAAGAACACTCTTTTATCAGAGGTCACAGCAATAAATGATGTTTTGCTAAAACCTTGTTGCAGTTAGCATGGAATTTCATGTCTGAATCCATATCAGATACCAAACTAAAGTGCAGATGTACTAATTACCAAGGAAGTACAGTAGAATCAAACCCCTCAAATTTTATGTATATGTAGAACTTGCCAGTAAAAAGCTTTATCACTACATCTCAGGCAGGTTCCCTTATCAGTGTTTTGATGCAACTATCACAGAAACCACTTCACTCTTACCATCCTACCAAGGAAAGGCAGGGACCAAGCCAGTTCAAGCCCCTCACCTCACCCAACTTCCCTGTTACAAACACACCTGTAGAGCTTCCTTAGCCAATACCATAAAGATCCACTCTGGGTTATGCATCTTTAAGATGGCAGAAAAGGCTACTCAGGAATAAGAAGACTAAAAGCATGTCAAAAAGGAGTTTTCCCACTTACTATCTTGAGGAAGAAAACAAGAATGACAAGCAAAAACCATACCTTTTGACTGAAAATTTTTGAAAGCCCCAGGTCTGCTTGTTTAAAGGAGTTTCAGGGCCATCTGCTGCATCATAAAGAAGCTGGAAAAGACATCAGTTGCATTCTCACTTCTCTCCCTCTCTGTAGATTCATAACCAGAGCAATGCTATCTCTAAGGATATAGCCTTCTCTGGAGGTTCAAAAAGGATCCAAAGCAAAATCTACAGCATGCAGGAGAAATAGGTACTGGAATAAAACCCCTAGAAGCCAGGGTTTAGATATTTATATGTATGTAAGTGTAATGTGTGTGAGTGCTTAATAAACTTGAATTATTTTGCAATTCTTTAGTCTTCTCCCAGATCGCTGATCCCCAAAAAGATTAAATGACTCAACTTTGCTACAACTTGTAAGAGATTCAGTATGACAGAAGAGTTTAAGGGCAGCTGGCAGAGCAAAGCACAGCTGTTTATCACAGTACAACAGAAACAGTTCTTCAAACACACATCAGGGACTGCAGAGATAGAGAGTTTTATCAGAACACACCTTTCAGACAAGTTACTAAATCGTGGCTTTAACAGCAAGTAATGTGTCTGAAAGTGCACTGCAGAAATCCAGACTGCAAACAGGCACCCATTAACAGGGCTGAGCTCTGCATGGACCTCTTGTGTAACTTCACCATCCCCAATACTCTTTAACATCATGAGAACCTTTCTTTGGTAGCCAAAAGAAACACCTGTATGCCACCTTCATTAGGACAATAAAGATAATTTGTTTCCTTACAGAAGCTGCTCTCAACCATCATTCAAGTACTGATCCAAGTAAACACATGTAAGAAAGGCTACCACAGGCTGGTGTGGTAAAAAGACCCAGATGAGGTAAGCAATCTATCTCCCATACTGATGTTCCCAGAATGGAAAAGTCTAAATATCAGACATTTGCATGAACAAGCAATTGCTCGTTCTCCTTTTATGGTGATGTTCATGAACTCTGGCCACCTGAAGTTAAAAATTTGACTGAGTGAAATGAGATTTCCCCCTACTGATCTCAGTCTTTTTCTCTTCAAAGAAATAATGATAAAAATGGGATTGTTTTCATAGAACTGAAAGCCTGATTTGTATATGCAACAAGCCATTTCATATTATGTCCACAGAGTGTCACTTTCCCCAGCATTACAACACAATTTGTTTCCAGACAGTGCAGAATAATTAGTTCACTCTTCAACAAAACAAGGTTTTCTCCATATTTTGCCTACTACCCACATTGAGTTTCCACAGAAAGCAGCCTGAACTCCATGCACATATCAGACTATTAATGCCAAGGGCAGAATCCAGAACAGAGTTTCAACGCCCTGTTAAGTTTTTGCTGCCGCTTCCTCTCTGACAAACTAAACACTGCCACCTACTGATTGCCAAAACCTGAACTTTAAAGGATTGGTTTTTTATTCCCCACTCCCAGACACATTGCCCAAGAGGCACAATAATAGCTGTAAGGAAAGTATTACATCCCAGATAAACCATAAATCGATGTCTGTATTCTTAAATATTATTGTTGCTTTTTTTGTTCCAATGCTGTAGCTACTTTAAGAAATTTTAGTACTTTTAGTCCAAGTCTGATCTTGCAATTTGACTGTCAAGCACATATTTTTACCATCAAAGCCCCCACCATACATAACAGAGACACCTGTGTGAACTTCAGTTCATTACAAGCTTTATAACAGCATGGTATGTTCTAGATTTGATAGTCCAGGGTCGAGTCTGAATGCTGTGTTGCAAATAACATCTGCTGCTCCAAGATTTTTCCATGGCTATGGCTTGACAAATAAGAAAAAACCCTATGATCATTCTCACATCATCCAGCTCCAGCAGCACCAAAGATATAACTAAAGCATTATTTTAATTACTCTTTTATACAATTACATTGTCAAACAAGAGATACCTATCCAGTCACAACAGTCTGTCAGAGCGTATGAACAAGGGTTCTGTTTCGCAGCTGCTGCACATATTCTTTTGCCTGGTCAAAGCCAGTCCTTGGTGGCTCTGGAGGGGGAGGAGGACCTTCCATCAGCTTCACAAAGTAGTGGCACCTGTTGATTTTCATGAAGGCAAACATGCCCTTGGCATGGTAACGAATGTGCTTCACGTAGCGGCCTCTGCCCGTCAAGGACTCGGCTGAAGGGGAAAGGAGAGAAGGACTGTTGAGTTGAGGGTGAACTGCCACACAGCTGCAACAGAAACACCTGTCTTGAGCCAGTGTATGTTTCGTGCCTGCTTCTGGAAAGTGAATTCTACTCAGGATTCTCTCCCCCATCTTTCTTCTGTTACATTCAGCAGATCAGTGATACAGAGGGCCCCGTGAGCTGAATTAACACTCCTCAGGAGCACAAAAAAGGTGAATTTAGAAAGCATGCACACAAGATAAATATGTAGGAAAGGGCAAATCCAAAGGAAGCTAGACTGAACACTTACTAAATTATATAGCTCTTCTGAAGGTGATATTAATATCACTGCTTTTCAGTGGTTTGCCTCATGAATTCCTGTAGAAGTCTTACAGACTTCATTTTCTCCCCTTATTGCATATATCACAGGTATTTTCATTATCTACACATCCAGTCCTGCACTAGCAGCTGAACCTTCTTATGGCAGAGGCCTGGAATGCTCCAAAGAATTCTAATCAAATTTGCTCTACAATCCAGGTGACTTTAAGCTTATAAGGTCTGTTTAGTAAAATTTACGCCACATTAGACAAAATGGGAAGTAATATCTTTGGGCCTAAGGACACCCACAAGTAAACATTTCTCTAACATTTTTCTGGGCTAAAAAGTGCTGTAGTTATTCCAAGCTTATCCTGTAAACAACTACATCTTTTTACTAAGAAGTTTTCTGTCAATACTCATTTACTTGTATACAATTTCTGACAGAAGTTTAATCCTGATCCTGCAAATCTAGCTGTACCAGCCACAGACAAAGCCTCCAGCATCTCTGTTCACTGGCAACATTAAAAAGTAGTAACGGTTTGCTTTCATATTCATGTCAAGCATCTTCCTCTTCAGGACCTTCTGTTCACATAAGGAGCAGAAATTCCACTCTCAGATGAATGCATCTTAAAAATTATGCATCTGGCAGATGCCAGAACACCACCAGTCAGGCACCAACTGCAACAAAGTGATGGCTAAAGGCTCAAAAACCACTACTAACTTCAGCTGTGTTGCAAGCACGTGCCTTTCATGTTTTGGCAAAGGTAAGTTCAGCAGAAACTGCCCTCTATTCATTTCTGCTGATTTAAAGCCAGAAAAACTTATTAAGGATAAAACTTTTTCATAGGGCAGGATAGGGTAGGATGACATTTTCCTGCACTAAATTAAAAAAAAATGTACCTATATGTAAATTCGATTTGAATTCCACGTTGTGCTTTCTTACGGCCAAGTCCTGTGCTTCCAACAGAACCTGTAACAAAAGGAAAAGAAATGGAAATACTTGAGTAGGAATTCAAGCAATGCTATTTCTTATCTCTAGATAACATGGAAGAAATTGAAAGTTTAAGTCAGTTATAGAAAAAGTATTTTATAGAGATAAAAACTGTTAAAAGACAAGCATCTTTTACATAAGGATGTTCCTTGCATACAGACTGAAATAGCCTCAGGAGAATTTTATTACATTTTTGGGGAGGAAATGGAGTGGAAACGATGGTTCCCATCAGCATTTGTCAGCCTTCCATCTACAGACCTTTGTCTAATTAGACATCAGACTAGAAACAAATTCTAAGGTGGGCAAAATGAACTTGGGTCATTCAACATTTTCAGCTCATACAGGACACATCTTTGCCATTATTATGCCAGAAACCAATGCTTCAGCCAAGAAAATGAGTAATTTGAGAATCCTAACAACTACAGTGTATCAAAAGCCTTTGTGCCTTTACAGGCCTTTCCTTGCTAATATCCTTCACCTCTTAAAGAACCAAAGCACACAGATGTAACAGCCATTAGAGACCAGGATTCTGCATCATTTACCAGGAACTTAACACCAAGCACTGTTGCAGAGGGCACCCACATGTAATTTATCACCATGACAAATGAACACAGCCAGCACAAGTGACCCAAACATATTTATAAGTCACAATATGACATGACTGTAACAAAACTATGTTGTTTGAATGTGTTCTCAACAGGCTTACTCGAAACATAAGACCCTACAGAAACATCTCCAAACTTCAGGTGACAGGTATTGATTTTCAAGTTTTCTTGAAACTAGAAGTGTCAAAGAATACTACTACATACCTCTTTGATCACTTTTGCTCCCTTTTTGTCACTAAATTCCAGCTGAGCAAGAGCCTGATCAATGGTCATTCCTTTTATCTGCAATCAAAGCGTTAAAATTAACTCCAGCAATTACAACTATTTCCCTTCTCTTATTCAGAAGACATTACTCTACTTACATTGCCATTATGAAAACCAAAAATACTTTAGTTTCTTTAATTACCACTTCTTCAATATCTTACAACCAGAAAGTCTGAGCTAAATATTGAATAAATCTTGACAAAACATTAAATTATTTTTTTTCTTAAAGAAAAAAACAGTCCATTACTATCTTTCAAAATTCCTCTTGCCATCTACCACAAGGCAGAAATCAACATGGAAATTCTTCCACAGTGCATAATCTGTGCATGATCCTGGGTACACCTGAGAGAGCACACTGGGATAAAGCAGCTAAACCAAACCACAAACAGCTGCTCCCTGTCCAGATCCAGGCTCATCCCAAGGACTCAGTACTGAAGAGGCTGATTAGATTGTGGCCAAATGAGGCCATTAAGGCAAATACAGCAATCAAATTTTGCATTCTAACAAACACAGTACAAAGTACTCTTTGCTTACCAGTTTTGCCAGATACCACATCTTATCTTTGCTGTATTTTATGTCTCTCCGACAGTGATATATTACCTGGGTGCAAAACACAAAAGTTACCAGGATCAGTAATTTTCCTGTGAAAATAAGAATGGACCATCCATGCCTGCTCCACAATTTTCTTACTAAGAATAAAATAAGTATGGCTCTCCCTACTATACCATGAGCACACTGGATCAGGCACAGCTTTGAGATTTGAAACTTTGATATTTGAAAGTATTAAAAAAAAGTTGCTGGCACACAGAAAAGTTTAATGCAATTTTATGACAATCTGTTCATAAATAGAAGTCCCTGAAAAGGATAATCAGAAGATTTCTCATCATCTTTTCCTCTCATCCTCCCCACCTTTAGAAGCAAAGACTGACGTGCCCATTCAGTCTTAAAAATACTATTCTGCTGTCAAGTCAACTTACTGGGAGAGCAACTAAACAATATTACCAGAATGAACTTAATTACCACTTCAGAAGAGAAGAGGCTTTCAAGTTTGATTGGCATGAAGAGCTGCCTCCACAGACCCATTCAACATTATTACTGACAGAGACTAACAGTAGCTAGTAGCATTTAACATCAATACAAATTTGAAAGTAGTGGCATTCTTTACAAACAGGTAAAAAACTGATTTAATAAGCGAGTCAGTCGATAGCTGCATTTTCACCCATATTGCATCAGTCAGCACAGGCCACACCAGGGATTTCTACATCCTATGGCTTAATGGTCACAGGGGCAATCAATGAATGCTCATGGCCCACAAAAGTACATGCCCAAAAAATCTCTTTTCTTTTGACATGCAAACACTTTACTTTGCTGAGCAGTGTGTCTAACAGAGGCCACAACACATCAATTCCCAATGGAGAAAAATTACAAAAAAGGAATTCAAAAATATCGGTTCTTGACAGCGAGTAAATACTGAAGAGTTAACCTAAAATCCTCCCAAGCTGAGCTGTAGTGAAAGCAGCACTAATTGGTCCTTTCAGTTATCAAATACACAACATTCTCTTCCTATGCAACTTCAGAGCCTTGCTTCCACTTGCATTTACCTGCAACTTCCTAGTTACAAAGATAATATACTGAAATAATGAACAAATAAGCTATAAAACTAGTGCCTTGTACAGTCACCCAGAGCCAGTGACAATCTGCTCAGAAATTGCTAACCACACACAGGTAAGGACATTCCCAGGTGCATCCTTACAGCTGGTCTGCGGGGTTCTCCAGGCAGCTGTGGAGGGTAAACAACCCTGTTCTTTTTCTCCCACTTCCCAGTCTTCTGCAGAGATGTGCTTGTGTGGATGCATGACAGAGGGAAAAGGCTACAGGATGGCAGCCACCTGCAAGACAAGACCACAGCCTCAGCTGCTGAACACAACAGTTCTTTTTCCCTGCCCAGTTTAGCTGGAAAATTGTGAACTTGCCTGTGCTGATAACGAGAATCGACACATTTTCCTACTCATAAAATCAAACTATTACAGTGTATTATAGTTTATGTTGGAAGGGCTTTTTAATTCAACAAGAAACCCCAGACTTCCCAAAGCAAACCATGAACCATCAGTGACATTGGTACAGCACAAGACTCCACATTTAGTGCTCCTGAATCATCCCACAAAGGCACAGTCACCTCTGTTTATATCTTTTCCAAGACCTACCAATACTTACTTAACTCTTACCGACAACATTTTTAGCAATAAAAATTTCTAGTTTTTCAAGGGGTTGAGTATCTCAAAGCATTAGAAATTTATAAACATTCTGAAATCTGAAAGGAGAGATGTTCTGAACTACTTCCAAAATGCAATCAAGTCAATATAAGACAAGCTGACAGCGAAAAAAATCAGTCTTCAGTCAGTCTGCTCACCTCAGAACCTGAAAAACCAAGCTACATTTTGCCCCTCTGCTGCCTAAATAAAGCAGCACTGGGCAGCCACTCCCAACTGCAAGTTCAAGACCAGATATTGTGAGTTTTACTAAGCCTTGAACAGCTTTGTGTGAGTGGCAAACTGTGCAAAGCATCTTAAAAATAACTGGCAAACAAAACATGCTGATTAGTTTCAAGAGGACATTGTACACCTCTACGTTTTGGTTTATTTGATTAATACCTAAAAATGTCACTGAACAAGGCAACAAGTCATCATCATCAGGGAGAATATCATGGACAATTTTTGACAAGCACATGAATATCATTCTGTAGTTTAACAAACTGAGCAGGAATGAACTAAGCATTCCCTTCCTGCCCTCAGAGAGCACATTAATATATCTGACAACTTAAGGAACGTCACATTCCCTCTATCTTAAAGTAATCCAGCCTCATGTGAAGAGCAAAACTATCCTAACTTTAGGAAAGGACACAAACACATTGCAAGCAAGAGAAAACTGTGACAAACAACAAACAAAATACATTATATAGGCGTGAGGGGAACAGGACGGAAAAACGCTGAAGGAATACTAGAAGGAACCATCCACAAGCAGCAAGTGGGACACACAAACAAAAATTTAGTAAAATAATGAGCAGATAACTCTGTCCAACTGCAAGGAAGCAAAGTAAGGGCAACATAAACCTATTTCTTCTTCCTCTGGTGTCACAGGTCTCTGCAATTTAACTACACAGGCTCTAGCAGAGACCAAAGCTCTGCACTTGGAGGATCTACACCAGCCTTCCCTCTGAAGTCAGGGATACAGCAGTACCACTGCTCCCACAGCACAGCCTGTGATCCCTCCAGACTGAGAGGGAAATTCAGTAACTACAGAAAAGCAGTGGCTGAGGACAGCACAGGGGGGAGCAATAGGTACATTGTTACTGTGACCTGCACCACAAGGTCAGAGGAAATCTGGAAGACACCTCTATCATGGCACAACATCTCAGTACATAGAAAGACACCACAGGGGCAGAGAGTGACCTGTTCCCACAGCCCTGGGGCAGGAGGGAAAGGCAGAGAAAGGGCAGAGCCCCAGGTACCCCCCCAGGCAGGGCTGCCCGTGTCCCACTGCCTGGGGATGGCAGGGGAGCCACAGAACCACACTCACCTCTCCGGCCGCGCCCAGCTGAGCAGACCCCGTGCCCAGGAACCGCCTGAAAGGGGGGAGCAGAGATCGAGGAATAAACACAACCATGGAATCACAGAATGGCTGGGTTGGAAGAGACCTTGAAGATCATCTTGTTCAAACCAGAGACACCTCCCGCTATCCCAGGTTGCTCCAAACCTGGCCTTGGACACTTCCAGGGATGGGGCAACCACAGCTTCTCTGGGCAACCTGTGCCAGGGCCTCACTACCCTCACAGGGAAGACTTTTTTCCTAATGTCCTATCTAAACCTACTCTCCGTCAGTGTAAAGCCATTTCCCCTCGTCCTGTCACTACATGTCCTTGTAAACAGTCTCTCCCCATCTTCCCCGCCCGCTCCTTCTGGCACTCCTTGGAAGGCCACAACCAGGTCGCCCCGAAGCTTCTCTTCTCCAGGCTGAACAACCCCAACTCCCTCAGCCTTTCCTCATGGGAGATGCTCCACCCCTCTGACCACCTCGGTGCCCTCCTCTGAGGGGAGAGCCACCCCCAGCAGCGCCGCGTCCCCCCGACAGCCGCCTCACCCGCGCCCAGCGCCCAGCGCGCCGCCATCTTCCCGGCCGCGCTTTGCGGCAGCGCGCCGGGCGGGGGCAGAGAGGCGCGGGGTTTGCGACAGTTTGCGACGGTGCTCGGCGGCAGCGCCCGGGGCACGTGGGGGGAGCGGGGGGCGATGGCGGCGGAGACGGGAACGGGAGCAGGGACAGGGACAGGGACAGGGACAGGGACAGGGATGGGGGTGAGGGCACTGCCCGCCTCCCCCAACTGGTACAGCAGCCGCTGCAGCGACGCCAGCAGCGACGGCCACCTCTTCGGCTTCGCGGCGCGGCACCGCGTCTGCCTGCTGGATATCGGAGCCGCCGCCCCCACGTTTTACGGTACCGTCACAGCCCTCCCTGGCCCCCCGCGTTGTTCAGGGAGGGACCGGGATCTGCCGGGGGAGGTGGCGGGAGCCCCGGGGAGGTGTGGGGTGGGTGGGGGGTATAGGGAGCCGCCGTGCGCTCCCGGGGATCCAGGATTTGAATCACGGTCTGTCGCTGTCGGTGCAGGGGAGCTCATCGGGCACACGGACAGGATCTCCGGGTTCGCGTTCTGCCACTGCCCCGGGCAGAGCGGCCTCTGCGCCAGCAGCTCCGACGACGGGAGCGTCAAGATCTGGGATGCGGCGTCGCTGTCGCCGGTGCTGGAGTACAGCCGGCACCAGGTGGGAGCGGGAGCCACCGGGAGCGGGGGGCAAAGGGACTCGCAGGAGGGTGCGGTGATTTAGGGCTCGCACGCAAAGCAGGGTGGGGCTGCCTCACCCAAAGGTGAATTTCAAACCCTCTGGCCGGGTTTTAGTTCTGCCCTGGAGCCTCGTTGCATCATCTCAATGAGCTGTTGATTGCCATCAAAGCCGCAGTAAACCAGTGTGCTCGCGGTCTGGACTCGTTGCCACTTAACCCAGCTCGCTTAAAATTATCTGTTTCCCTTGGGGCAGACTAAAGGTACGTTTGAACATTTTCTGTGACTCAGGACACCAGATCAGCATCTGCATCCTTTTAAAGCCCAGCAGACCCAGGACACGTTGGAACAAACTGAACTGATGCTGGAAAGTGCTCGCAGATTGTTTTCTGAACTAATGCTGGGGAGTTCTCACAGATTATTTTCTGCCCTTTATTCTGTGTTAAGTGTGGTGGAACAGCTCTAAGTGTGTTCAATCCTCTTTCCTCAGAACCCAATCTCTGCATTGCACTGGTCACCTCTTGTGAAGGATCTCATTGTGTCTGGTGATGAAAAAGGTGTCATTGTTTGCTACTGGTACAACAGAAGTGACAGCCAGCAGTTCTTCCCAGAGCCTCGCACAGTTTTTTGCCTCACTTGTTCCCCTCATCATGAAAACCTGGTGGCCATCGGGTAAATATTCACTATGGTTTGTTTTCCACTATTCTCCTGCAAGAACCTTATTGGGAATTTTTTGCTACGTGGCTGTAGGGTTAATTTTGAGAGGGTTTGGTGGCTGTTCTTCTAGTGTACAAGTTAGAAATAACATTTAGATGTGGTAAACCTGCAAGACACAGAAATCCATAACAGTGTAATTGTCCAGGTTCAATTTGCATTTTTGAGGTTTCTTAAAACTGTTATTTTTAATTAAACTTGACTGAAAGCTGCATTAGTAATGGATTGTTGTCATTCTTGCAGCCAAGTATACTGGTTGCCCTTCTTGAAAAGGCAGCTGCAAGCACCCCATTGCCATACTGGAGCTCCCATTACCATTAGGCTGCCAGTCCCATTGCTGCTAGGATTTGGCTTCTCCGTCTATAATATAATAGTGATCACTGGAAAGAGCTTGGAAATCACTTAGAAATTATCCCACAAGCATCCAAGAATCTCTCCATTAATTTAGATCTCTGCTTTCAGCTACAAGGATGGCATGGTGGTTGTCATTGATATCAGCAGGAAAAGAGAAGTCCTGCATCGGCTGAGGGGCCACGAGGATGAAATACATTGTCTGGCCTGGTGCCCTGTGCCTGGTGAAGAAAGGTTACCTGCTTGGCAAGATGAGGTCCAGGGTATGTAGAAGCGATTAATAGTTTGTGAAGCAATTTTTAGTTCATGTAAATGTCTGTTTCTGGAGAATTGAATTTTTTATAGAAGGTTGGTAAGTAGCTAAGCAAAGGCAACTGATAAGTTCAGTACAGTGTGTTCTGATAGAAACCAGTCTATTTTTCAGCTATTTTTTTTTTAAAGCTTTGAATTTCAAAGTGTAATAACATGACTTCAATGGTGTTCAGCAGTTCCTTCAGAGGAAGGCAGAGTTCCAAATGGGGAGCTGACACAGGACACAACCACAAAGAAAGGCTGTTACCTGGCTTCGGGAAGCAAAGATCAGACCATACGAATATGGAGCTGTACCAGAGGCAGGAGTAAGTAGGATTAATAATGTGAGATAAACAGTGACAGTGTGGTGGAAGAGCTGTTCTCTGACTGCAGCCTTTGTCTGCTAATCTGATGGTTTAAAGCATGGGCAGTGTACTTAAAGCTGCAGATTCACAGGGCTACTCTTTCTGTCAGGGAATTCTGATGTGCAAGGTCTGGATGATCCCTCTTGGTTCCACAGGTGTGCTGACTCTGAAGTTGCCCCCCACCAAAAGAAGAGGGGGAGCCGTTGATCCCGCTGTTAAGGAGCGCATTTGGCTCACTGTTCACTGGCCTCCTGGTCGTGCCACAGAAATTGTGTCCAGTGGTTTTGGGTGAGTAGGGCACTCAGCAGCCTGGGGACCATCAGCAGCTGCAGATACATTTGTTGATACTTAAAGAAGTGCTGGGTAGAAAAGACACTCCCTTCCTCCTTTTTTCCCAGTATAACAGGAGACAAGATAGGCCAAGAGTAAAAATGGGACTTCAGGCTTCTAGAAAACTGTTTGTCCCATAATTTCTCCCATAATCTAATTGAATGTTGACTGCTAATGGTACAAGTTGTGTTTTTGCCCATCTAGTGGGGAAAAATGACCTGTCAGTTTTCGGGGTGGTGTTTGTGTGCAGCTCTGTACAGGCAGGTGCAGTGGATGTATGTCGAGCTGTATTAGTCTTGTACTTGCAGAATGTGCACAGGTAGTGGAGTCTGTATATGGCCTATGTTGTTCTTTTGAAGTGAAAAATTAAATAAATTTAAATTTTGCAGAGGAGAACTGCTTCTTTGGAATTTGACCCAACCTGGAAAACGCAAGTGGACTCTTCTGGGATCATCAGAAGGACAAAACCACTCCCGAATTGTGTTCAATCTCAGCTCTGTGAAGCAGGAAGACAAAGAGCTCCTTTTTTCCATTTCAATGGACAGAGATGTAAGAACCATTTTAAAATTAGCATAAAAATGCCTGTAGTTTGGCTGAGTGAGGGTAAGCCTTTTAGGGCCACAATATTTCTTTTTAAGTGGGTTTATCCCAGCATTTTGTAACATCACTGCTTCAGATTTGCTCTGAACACAGGTTGTGTATTTTTCTGTTAGCTTATAAGCTCAGGCTCTTACCCTGGTGAATTGTTATGACATTCTGGACTTGAATGGTAAGCATTTATTAAAGAGTATTTACCGCTTCTTTTTCCTGTTTCACTTTTAAAAGATCTGGTTTTCTTTCTTAAAATCATTTAATTGTACTAACTAAAGCATCTGGGTTTTATTTTTTTTTTTTTAAATCTTTGGCCTCTTACAGGCAGCAGAGTGCCTCCTATTTTGAAATTTGAAGAGGAGCATAATATTAAAATATATTCATTGTGTCCATTTCATTACAGTCTTCCAACTGTTGCAGCCCTGTCAGTGACATGTGATCCTCTGGGTGCAGATCACATACTGTCAGGCCTTGAATTTTACCTTTTAATTCTTCATCTCACAATATGCTTTGTTTTTCCTTGTCATATCAGTCACTCTATATATTTAACTATTCCTTGTTCCTTAAATATTCTTCAGGTGAAGTGCTGGGACCTGTCAACTCTGGATTGCAGCTGGACCATGCCCTCACTTGGAGGCTTTGTCTATAGTCTTGCCTTCTCCCCCGTGGACACAGGCTGTCTTGCCATCGGGGTTGGAGACAGCATGATCCGGGTGTGGAATACTTTGTCCATGAACAATATTTACGATGTTAAAACCTTCTGGCAAAGCATAAAGTCCAAGGTCACAGCAGTAAGTGTGCTTTGGATTCCTTTTTTTTTCTCTTATCTCTTCTCCTCTTTTCACTCCATTTTTTTCAAGTATGGGGTTTTTTTCTCTCTCACTCTGAAGAAGGTTTTTCCCAGCAAAAGCCAAGTTGTTCATTTTGTACTCGATTCTTTCAGTCTACAACACATTTTAGGGTCTGCCAGCAAATTTTTAGACCTATTTACAACCCTAGGTGCCCTCACTACATCTAGTGAAAATCAGCTGAAGTCCAGCTGGCTGTTACATTACTTTTTACTTTTATCCTCCTTCATCATCCTTCCTTGTTTCATCTGTGGTTGCCCTTGCTCTGCTAGGAAGTTTGACACATACAAAAACCAACACAGATGTCTTCAGTTTAGGCTAACCAGGAACTAGCCAGAAGCTACAGTCTGGTAAAATAGCTGGCAGAAGTAAAATCATATTTTCCATTTTTGTTTTGCGGTGTAGGTGTCAAATAGCATTTTAATGATTTGTAGTCCATTTTATCTTATCCCACCATACCTGGTAAGGGAGAGCCTTTGATACTCAGAGCAGAGTGATCAGATCCAGTGGCTGTAGTTGGAAGGGTGGGTGTAAGGCGTAGTCCTTGCTCAGCAGTTTCAATGTTTTCCTTTTACTTATTATTGAAGTGTCTTGGCTTATGTCATTATATATTTCTCTGTATTTTTCTTGCAGTTATCCTGGCATCCAACTAAGGAAGGCTCCTTGGCTTTTGGAACAGATGATGGAAAAGTTGGCATATTTGACACCTTGTCCAGCAGGTAAAAAAGTAGCTTTCAAATACATTAGTGTCAGATCCTGCTGATGTGTTACCACACGTGGGTGGTGTGGTCTTTCCTGAGGAATATCTTTGCTGCTGGACAGGAGTAGGACTAAATTAAAACATTCAAACAGCTAGATTTTCGGTGCATTTTTTCATTTCCATTATGTTTGATGGCTTCTGAGGTCA